CCTGGAGGTGTTTCAGAGCTCTGCTTAATGTCCATTAACAGTTGTTTGAAGCAAAGGAGAATTCCTTTAAAGGGTTATTTCTAGGCAGATTTGCTTCAAGTAATTGAAAGAGCAGGGCTAACCCTTCCGTGAGAAAGTAAGTACATTTCACCTGGTGAAATCAGTCACACGCTCCAGATGTTCCAGCACCCTCCATGGATTTCAGACCTACTGAATCAGCTCTGGAGTCGCTTCAGCAAATCTCTTGCAATAAATCTCTTAACATGTTTATTCCCTACTGGTCCTACTTCTCCGGCTAAATCCTGATTAATATTAAGAGTATTCAAAGTGGGGATGAAAAAGACCTTCAAAGGCCCTAGAAATATATAATGATTTAGGAGGCATCAGAAGGAGAGAGGAATCTGTGATGGAGAGCAAAGGGGCTCAGAGGTGGGCGGAAGTACAGGGTGCTTTGGAGAATCGAGAGCTGAAAGCTCATCCAAGCATGCGACTCCCCGCAGTAATCCAGGGTAGCTAAAACCAGCACCTGGCATAGAGGAGCTGTTGGTTTAGCAAAGGATCATTAGGCAGGAAATCCAATAATTCCAGGCAGACATGAAAACCAAAATGAAAGAACTGGGCTGGAGAGATCGTACAGGACGTAGGGCCTTTGCCTTGTACTTGGCTGACCGAGGTTCAATTCCTGGCACCCCATCTGGTCTCCTGAGCCCACCAGGAGTGATTTCTGAGCATTGAGCCAGGAATAAGGTGTAAGCCCTGAGCACAACCTGGTGCGGCCTCTCAAAAAAAAAAAAAAACTCACAAAGAAAAGGAGGAGAATTTCTTTAAGATGCTTACCCATGGCAAACAGGAGAATAAATGGAATAAGAAACTAAAAAAAATGGAATGCTTCTTTATTATAAGAAGATAGATACTTAAATATATCCAGCTGCTGAATATATAAAAAATGAAGGAGAGCACTATTAATAGAGTTGAAAGGAGACAACTGATAAGGCAAGGATCCCAGCAAAGCAGGAAGTAAGAAAATTCAACAAACAGAAAAAGGAAATTGAATTCTGTAGAAGGAAGAGAATTTTTCTACAGAGATAAAACCAAATGGGGGAGCGAGCGCTTTTAATATATGTCTATAAGAGAAGGAGCAGTTCCTGCCTCTGGACTCAAATGTCACCGTGACATGCTCGGTGAGACTATTTGCTGACAAAGTAGAGAAAATACTCAGGGGAACAGCTTGAACATCGGTACCAATAGGAACTCGTTTTACAGAGAGTAGAAAAATGACTTGCTTTATTCTAGGAAATAGGAGAGGAACATAGCTAAGCTAGTCATAATTAGGGTTAGATACTCCTGGAAGCAGTGACATTGCCCTGACAGAGATAAACTTCATTTCATTAGCAGCATTTGCTGACCTGCGTATAGGAAGAAATAAGTGGTTTGATCCAGGGCTACGATTTCATGGAAGACAGTAACTGAAGGGCAGAATGAAGAGAAGCGGAAATGAAGGTTCCTCAAGTCTAGGGCAAGTCAGCAAGCAGGAGGTGACCTGTGAGAAATGGAAGGCTGCCTGGTAAGAAGGCATCTAATAGCTTGCAGACGTGGTAGATTGGAAAATAAATAGATAAGTGGATTTTAAAAAAAACAGGACTTGGAACTAAGTTGTTATTATTCTCCTGGCTCCTGGAGGGCATGAATCAATTTATTTCCCCTTTTTTTGGCCTTAGCTTTATCATCTATTAAATGGACGTGGCAACCTTGCATAAAACTCGGGATCGTGAAGATGAAGTAATATAATTCATCCGAAGCAGGTGGTTTCACCCAGCATTATACTAAGTGCTCTTTAAATTCTAACCATCTTTTGTACAGAGTGGAGATACCTGTCTGTGTGCGGAGCTGTGATAAGACTGGAGAATGAGTGTGTGAGATGTTAGCGGAGGGCTGCCGGCCAGGACTGTGGAGAGAAGAGGCAGGCTGTGTTTCATTCATTGCAGGGCCTCAGATCAGGAGGTAGGACAGACCCTAGGACGCAAAGGTGAAACCCCAAGTGACAGGAGCTGCCAAGGTCATGGTTTAAGGGCTGGTGTAATAACTGCCCACTCCAGGGCCACAACGCCCAGAACATGGGAAAAGGCAGACCGAGGAGCCAAAACTTTAACATTTTAATACGAAACATGAAGAAACTAGAAGCTAGAATTACACATTGCACAATAAAGATCCTCAAAAGTTTAAAATATCTTTAGAGTACAGATACTGGGCAGTAGTCCAGTTGTCGAATGTAGGAGATGCTGTTTGTAAGGCAAATCTAAAAACAGGGGCTGGCGAGGAGAACAGGAGGGAAGGCCTTGCACATGTCCAGCGTGGGCTCAGTCCCTGGCACCCTGCACGGTCTCCTGAGCCCCACAGGAGTAATCCCTGAGTGCAGAGGAGGTCTGAGTACCTCTTGGGTGCAGTCCCAAAACAAACAGAAAGACAAAAGTATTCAAAGCTTTCTCTACAACTTTGACCCTTGCTCTGGGCTTGCTCTCCTAGATTTGCATCTGTCCCACTGCCAAGGATCTCAATTCCACCTCAAGATGATTTTTCTAGATGGCTAGACTATGCCAGAACCCTGCTTTAGGTATAATATTTTACAACGGCATTCTCTTCAGGACTGACTCTCTGCCTTTCAACCTTTCAAGGTGTTGTTCAGTCTCAACATTAACTACAGATAAATCTAACTTCAAAATCACTCAGGTCTATTCTTAGTCTCATGAGTCTTCTTGAAACTTCACTGAGATTTGAAGATTTCTCAGATTTTCAGTTCTTTCTTCTCCCGAGCAAAATCAAAATCCATCAACTTTGGTTCTGAGTTTTAAAAAATTCTTTAGCTATCATTCTGGGCAAATCATAAACACATATTTAATCTCTTAACCACAGCTTTCACTCAGTAGGTTGGGGTTGGCATCCCAAGATTCGCATGTAACTCTTCACATTTCATTGGCCATCAAACTTAATTCTTCAATAGTTGAAAGAAATTTAGATAATCCATGGAAACTCCTTTGATTTTTAAGTTGAACATATCACCTCCTAACCAATTTTATCTTGGATGTGTAAATATATGTTATGTTTCATTCATGTTTACCATAGTTGATATACAATGATTCTTTTTCTGTCTGACAAGTCAATTGTTCTATGGAACTGTCCTTGCAGTTAATTTAGAATTCTTTGCTCTTTCTTTTTTTTATATTATTGTACAGTTTATATAAAAGATTGTAAAATAATTAAGAAGGTTCCTCAAGAACGCTGAACTTAAGATGGTCATTCAAATAATTATTTGGGTAAAGTTTCTGCTTTGTTCAAGTACTTATTCAATGGGGGAGGGGGGAGGAGAAAGAGTTATTTTTCTTTGACGTGCTTTTTTTGGGTAACAATGTTTTACAAGGAAACAACAGTCTAACGTTTTCATTATAATTTAGAATGCAGCTGTCTTTTGTTTTGGTAACTATAATCTCTCTAATGAAGAAACCTAAAATTACACAGGATTTGGAAAAACAAATCGCTTTCAAAATATGACCCTGTCTTCAAGCCTTACTCACCACTGATAGAATTTCTGGTAAAATGTAATAAACAATTATGGAAACCAAGGACACAAAGCTATAAATATGTACTGTAGAAGTGAGCTTTATAATAATGTATTTGTAGGCTTAAGAGGCAGTTATAATTCAGATAAGAATAAACTACTGGACATTCCCAAGGATAGAAGGGTTATTTCTGTTAGGATGATTTCTCAAGACAGATTTGTACTATTGCAAATAACATTCTTAAAGTCCCTAATAAAGAAACTGTTTCTAGGCTGAATTTACTGTAATTGAAAGAAGCAATTCGTTCTATGTCCTTAAAATGTCTCTAAAGAGTGGCATGCATCTTTCGTTTAATTTCACAGGTACTCAAAGAAATGTAAGCTTCTTGTTCACTCTCAAAGGTCCATTCTGAAAACACTGTCTCCCAGAAAGGGAAACAAACCTTAAAAAATATCCAGAATGAACTCCAGATTTTTTTTCATTGTTGAAAGCAGTCAGAATAAGAAGGACTACACAAGAACATGAACAAGAACTACACATGAGGAACCTTCTACCTGAAAACCACATATGTGTGGAAATGTGCAGATTTACTCTTGGAAGTTGATTTCCATGCAATCCCACACAGGAATCATGAAACAAGACCTTCCACTTATCACACTGAAGTTAAACAATTTTTGCAAGCCTCTGCAGTTCTGTCATTAAGGGGATAAATGTCAGATGGCCTATTTCCAAAGGTCACTGGTAATCTAAGCAAACCAGATGCCATTTCAGTCCCAAATAAAGCTCGGTGGGGACAGATCAACTCTAACTGTTGTATTGGCTTGTTGCTGCATAAACCTAGCACCTACCTGATGAGTCACAGAAAATTCTCAATTATTTTCAGTGTCTTTGTTGGCCCTGGGTTTGATCTGAAGGCATGCATGAAGGAGCACAGCAGGTAGGGAGCTTGCCTGGCTAGGCTGACGGTGCTGACCTGAGTTCTATGCCAGATACAACCTATGGTGCTTGCTCCCTACCCCCAGCCCCTGCCCCAGCCGGCCCAGAGTGATCCCTGATGACAGTGTCAGGAGTAGGACCTGAGCACAGGCAGGTGTGGACCCCAAATAAAACCAAACAAAGAGATATGGGGTGGGGGGAGTTCCAGGGTGAGTGAGGGCCAGGCAAAGGATCAGACCGCTGGATTCCTGCGTTCCTGGGACAGGGACCCGGCCCATAGCCTAGCGCTTTCCCTGGGCAAAGTTATCCGCAGAGGCTGGAGGAGACAGGTGGACAGCATGGGTGGGTCGGTGGGCGGGCGGCTCGGAACCCCACCCAGGGTGCCACTGGACATCTCAGATCTCTCCCCACAAATGTCTCAATGATCCCAAGAGACCCCCCCCCCCAAGGACCCCTGGCAAGGAGGGCGGTGGACGGTCCCGGGCCCCCCGCGCGTCTACCAGCGCTCACCGGATGATGACGAACATGACCAGGGAGTTGCCCACCAGGCCCACGACGAAGACCACGGAGTACACGGCCGTGATGATGACCGGGATGGCCGCGGAGACGTGCGCGGGCTCCAGGGACGCGTTCCGGGGCCCCGCGGTGCCGTTGGCGTCCCCGTCGCTGGCGTTGCGGGCCGCGCAGGCGTCCGGGGGGCAGCTGGGGCGCGGGTCTCCGCGGAAGATCTGCACGGGGGGCTCCATGCTCGGGCTGCGGGGGCGACAGGGCGAGCTGGACCCGGGCTGCAAACTTCGGCGGGGTCCGGGCTGCGCGCGCGCGGGGCTGCGGGACCCCACCCGGGCGCGCGGGGGCTCCTGCGCCGGTGCTCCCTGTCTCCCTCCCGGGCGCTGCGCCCCGGGGACAGGTGCGCCCCAGGACCCCCCTCCCCTCCCCAGCGCGCGCGCCTCACCTCCGGCTCCCGCAGACGCGCCGGTCCCGGGGGGCGACGCTCACGTCCGGGTGCCCACCCGCCGGCGGTGCCCGCTCGCCCCCCAGCCGGGTGCTCGGCGCCCTGGCAGCCCCGCCGGCTGGACCAGCCGCCAGTCCGGGTGCGCGCAGGGGGCCGGGGCGGGAACCGGGCGGGCGCGCTCCGCCCTCAGCCCCCCACGCTGCAGCTCGCGGAGGGGGGCGCGGGCTCCCGGCCGAGCTACAACTCCTTCCAGTGCCCCGCGGCTCTCAGGGGCAGAGGACACACACCAAAAAACAATGAGTAAATGGTAATTTTGTTTTATCCGAATGAGCCACCCAAGGAGCGAGGAGGGATCAGGAACAGGACCCGGGCATCCCGAGTGGTCCAGGGTGCGCACACGCGAGGATGCTCAGGTCTCACCGGCCCGCGCGCTCAGTGCGCGCCCCTAGGACTGACTCGGAGGGTCTTTACCCGACTGTGTCCTTACCCGACTCTCACACCAGTGCCCTGCCCGCAGCTTCCCGCTCCCGCTCTCGAGAGCGCCTTCCCCCGGGAGCCTTGGAGAGGAATTCGAGCCCCTGTAGGGAAATTCTGATGTGTTCCTTGCACAATGCTGCCTGTCAGATTCTGCTGCGTGAAACAGACCTTCTGTGCAGACGCACCCAGCAAGGACTAAGGGAAGGAGCATGAGAGAGGCTTGGAGCCAGGACTCCGCGCACATCCAGGAGTCCGCTGCGAAGTTCCTCTTCCCATCGGGGTCTGGGGGCCAGCACACCCCAGCCTCTTCCTGGATTTCTCCTGGAAGGTTCAGTGACTAGGGAAAAACGCCTGTTCCACGCCCCCACGCTACCAGCCAGACAGAGCTCACGTCCACACCTGAGTACCAACACCTGAGCACCCCAGGGGCTGGTAGTGTGAGACACTTCTGCCTCCCCACTCCATTTAAAGGACAATGGAGCCCCCAAATTTGACCACAGGCCTCAACATGTGGGGCTCTTTTGAGTTGGTGGGACACGGAGAAACAGGCAAGTGTCAGCCCTGAAGCTTCCCAGTTGTGGATTTATTTCAGACCCTTCCTTTCTAAGTCTGCTCGCAAATTTCCATAGGAAGATGACGCCTGCGTTCACCAAATATTGATTTTAATTCCGTGATCTCCATGTGAGTGAGGGCACCCTTTGTTTCGGGGAGATGGCTGTCTTTTCCTCATTCCCAGCAGCTCTCTTTGGTTCTGTGGAATCCAGTCTCCCATGAAACAAGCCCAGCAAGATGATTTATTTGCAGATCATAAAAACTGGGCAGTGGCCAAGTCAGAAAGAGAGAGTTAAAAAAATTTTAAAGTCGCATATTAAATGAGAACATCTGGGTCAGGGGCGAGGAAGGTGCTTGCCTTGCATGCAGCTGACCTGGTTCTATGCCCGGTATCCCCTATGGTCTCCTAAGCACTCCAGGAGTGAGTCTTGAGCCAGGAGTAACCCCTGAGCATCGCCAGATGTGGCCCAAAAATCGGAGGGGGAGGAAGATGAGGACAGCGATGGGAGGGGGGCAGACATACTAATTTATCTATTACAATCCCCCACATTTCTCTTTAGTTTTATTGCATTAAATTTGTGCTGCACATCTTTGAAAAGGTGTTTACTGGCAGAGGGACAAAGTCACGCGGGTTCTGGGGCCGAGATCTCCAAGCCTACTCGGATTTGGGCCGAGCATCCTCCACCCAGATCCTCCAAATTCCAGCAGGCGGGAGTCACACCCACCAACAGGCCCCCTGGCGCCCGTGTAATCCCATCAACGGCCAAGACTCAGAGACTATAAAAACCAGCTCCCGGAAGAAAACAGTGCAGTCTCCTGCCCCCGTGCCTGGCTGTCCACGCTGGGACCCCTTGGAGGGGAGCGGGTTGAGCTTTCCTCCCCGCCCCGACCAGGGCTCCGGCAGCCAAAGACTTTCAGGACCAGCTACCACCATGCTGAGACCACTCTCCGCACACATGAAGGTACTGGCAGAGGGACAAAGTCACGCGGGTTCCGAGGCCGAGATCTCCAAGCCTACTCGGATTTGGGCCAAGCATCCTCCACCCAGATCCTCCAAATTCCAGTAGGCGGGGGTCACACCCACCAACTGTCCCCCTGGCACCGTGTAATCCCATCAATGGCCAAGACTCAGAGATTATAAAAACCAGCTCTGGGAAGTGCGCGGCCGCATTTGCGGCCGCGCGACATCTTATTATAATATCTTATTATCTCATTCCTACTTTGGACAAGCTGGCAGGCTACCGAATGTAGCCTGCCCACACGGCAGAGTCTGGCAAACTCCCCGTGGCATACCCAATATGCCAAATACCAGTAACAATGTTGGGTCTCATTCTCCTAAAGAGCCTTGAATATAATCTCAGGGCTAGGATGAAGGAGACGTTACTGGGGCCTGCTCGAGGCAATCGACGAATAACAGGATGATTTGTGATCTTTGAAAAGGTGTTTCCAACATCCATCCTCATTTCACGGTCCTTTGCTACATTAGGGGAGTTTTTGTTTGTAGTCTAGTGCACAGGTGGCTACCACAGCTGGCAACGCCAGCCCTGTTCCAACACAGTTGTTCTGGCTCTTGCCGTATGCTAATTGCACACAGCTATTTCCTCTCAGGGGACAAGTGGAGAACCAAATCTTTCCCAAAAGACAAAACAAATATGGCAAAGGCTATTAGCGAGGATCAAAAATACACGTAAGAAAGGTATTATTTGACAAGAGCCCAATAAAGTTGTAAGGAGAGAGGAAAAATAAAACTCCTTAAGACAATTTCCAGATCTGTACATTTATAATTCAATTTTTTTGAATTTTCCTTCTCACCTGTCTACAGTGTATGTGCAAAGATTTTCTGGAAAATTTTTCTGTAATAAAAGTTGAATCGGAAGCCAACCTGGGACCTTTAAACTCTAAGAAAATTTAACTATATCATTATGCTCATTTTCAGAGGCCATTGGTTATGGAGTCTTTTAAAGGCAAAAGAGATTGCTTACTATGGCAGATCAACTTTTTTCCTTTGAGTGTTTCTGTTAATTTGGAACAAATTAGTGGTCAGAATAAAGGGAAGCTGGAATGGGAAAAGTGTGAAGAAACCTGCAGGAAGCTCTGTTACCGCGGTAACCTGGCCAGTTTCCGGAAACACAGAGAGGAACGCTGTTTGCATGGCATCCCATTGTCAGGGATAGGCTATTTTAGCTTGGGCTGGAGAGATAATAGCACAGCGGTAGGGCGTTTGCCTTGCACACGGCCAACCTGGCTGACTCAAGTTCGATTCCTCCGCCCCTCTCGAAGAGCCTGGCAAGCTACCCAGAATATCCTGCCCACACGGCAAAGCCTGGCAAGCTACCCGTGACGTGTTCGATATGCCAAACACAGTAACAATTGTCACAATGGAGACGTTACTGGGCCCACTCGAGCAAATCGATGAACAACGGGAGGACAGTGACAGTGACAGGCTATTTTAGCTTACACTGAAGATAAGAGAGAAGAAAAAATGAACTATTAGAAGGCAGTACACTTTTATATAATTCTATGAGCAAGTGCCATTAAACTCACTCAAACCGTCTTTCTACCTGCCACTCCACTCAACATTATGATTGTAACTACCAGTCAGACAGCTTTTGTTAATGAAAGTGTGTCTTCAGGGATGATTATTGGTGAATGTTACAAAACATCTTTGGTGGCTAACGCACTGACCGTTCTACCATACGTAGCAAAAACTCCACACAGCAATTGTGATCAACTCGCTTTCTTGTGTCTCCAACAGACACAAACCTGCAGTGAGGTCAGAACTTGAGAGGAAAGTCGCGTCTGTGGAGACTCACGTGTTGCTCGGGCTGCCTGACTGGCTCCAGCCTACCCCGTTCATCAGCTCCGGTTGTCCATCCCCAGGGTAGACTTAAAAGTAGACTCCGAAAGTGCAGAAGTGAAAACAACAAGCTATCCATCCCCCAAGAGGACAGTGAGAGACAGACTCTATTTTTTAAATGTCACTGTCACTGTCCTCCCGTTGTTCATTGATTTGTTTGAGCGGGCACTAGTAACGTCTTCATTGTGAGACTTCTTGTTACTGTGTTCAGCATATCGAACACACCATGGGGAGCTTGCCAGGCTTTGCCGTGCAGGCAGGATACTCTCAGTGCTTGCCAGGCTCTCCAAGAGGGGCAGAGGAATCAAACCCGGGTTGGCTACGTGCAAGGCAAATGCCCTATCCGCTGTACTATCACTACAGCCCATTTTTTTAAATTATGACGAATTAATTTCATTCTTACTTTGGACAACCTGGCAGGCTAACGAGTGTAACCTGCCCACATGGCAGAGTCTGGCAAACTCGCCGTGGCATACCCAATATGCCAAATACCAGTAACAATGATGGGTCTCATTCTCCTAACCCCGAAAGAGCCTTGAATGTGGCACTTCTTAAAATCTCAGGGCTAGGGCGAAGGAGACGTTACTGGTGCCTGCTCGAGGCAATCGACGAACAACAGGATGATCATGATTGTGACTAATTAATAATAAAAATCATATACAGTTAATTCCGATGAATGTTACATAGGAAGGCATTTCATAAGCATGGTAAACAATAACAAATGCAGTAGGTTTGTGCAAAAAAAAAATTTTAAAGGCTGAGGGAGAGAGAGATAGTACAATGGGTAGGGCACTTGCCTTGCCTGCAGCAGACCCAGGTTCATTCTCCAGCACCACACAGAGTCCCCCAAGCACCACCAGGAGTGATCCCTGAGCATGGAGCCAGGTGTCAGCCCCAAACACAGATGACTGTGGCCTAAGAAATTCAAAATGGCCCCCATCCTTCAAATGTCTATGATAATGATTTAAGTCCCCTTGTCCCTGGTTTGATCTTGTACACAGTCTGCATACTTTTGTAGGGGTCCTAATGAGGACAGGAAGAGATTCCTCATATCTGGGAATTTAGTTTAGCAACTCCAGGGAAATTCCTCCTGATGAAGTCTCATTAAAGCAACATTTAATGCTTGCAAATAGCTCTTCAGGTGAAAAGGGGGAAAGGGTTGTTTTAGGCAGAGGGCCGTTTGGATATAGGACCTGAATGAACAGGAGAA